TTCGAAAATGACGTGTATGAATTTGCCTGTCTTTGAGTAAGATTTTCCAAATTCCTTTACAATTGCTTTACACACAATAACGCCTCAATGTCGTGTTCATCTAAAAAATAGACTCAGAGTAGTGGACGGTTTTAACCTACTTTGTCAAATAGTTTATTTTTAAGTTCACCTTTTTTAGATGTCAGTAAATGTAAGCCGACCACTACTATAATCTGTGGAAATTGTGTTTGAATTGAATAAACGTTTGAATTCGCCAATGCATTTGTTTCTATTCCATAATTAAGAATATTTAGGCTCTCATTTATTTTTCAAACCAGTGCGCCATTTCTGTTAGCAAATTCCCCGCTTGTTCTGAAATCATTTACTGCCTTTTTGACACCACACTGTTATTACACATTGGTAGATTCAATCTAATGATTTAATTGAGCCGGCTAAATAACGTTCTCAGACTACTTTACAAGCCAGTCAGCTAATATCTTTTTGCTCATTACAATATCATACAAGTTGTGGATGTTTACGTTTTCTTCATCGTTGAAGTAGCATGTCTGCGCCTTTAGATTACACTACTATTTAAAAGAACTCCAGCCTAACAAGACATAGTAGTTTCGCTTTTTAAGACATACATTATACTCTTAAATACTGAGGAAGAAATACGTGATTGGGCATCCATTTGAACGCGTGCAGTGTTCAATAACTCGTACAGCCGTTGAACAAAGAACCATAGAGTTTAATTCTTAATTGCAGCTGCAGGACATTTGACACCTGCTGACTGTAAAAGCTCCCTGCATGGGGACTTAAAGTCACCGGGATTATGAACACACATCATTATTGGGAAAATGTAGGTCTTTAACAAGGGGAGACACTGAGGTGCTTAGTAGTTTCAAATAACAAGAAAAGAATAATCATGAGATGTAAAGTGAAGTTTGCGCACCAATCAGCAGGCAGGACAGTAAGTTAAACGATTTAATTTTTCCTATCTTGTGATATTTTTGCCGTCGACGAGCGGGCCTACTCCGCATAGATAGGTAATTAGATGAATTGTAAGTGACTGTAGGAGGAAGGCATTAGGCAATATCGGACAACTGGTTTTCTTGAGGACGTCAGAGACTAAAAGTCAAATTTGAAAATGCGCCAGAATATCCTAAAGGTCAGGAAATATTTACAACTGAAAGAAATTTAAGGACAGTCTCTTTACTACTCTTCAGACTCGGACGCTATAAATGCCCTATAGTGTAATCTTTCGTACAATTTTAAATGATTGCGACTATAGCAATAAGGAGGGAATGTTTGGAGGTCTTCGGAAGGAAGGGCGACCTCAAGCAAACTCTGCAGCTGTAACGTAGCCCACAAGTTTAGCATTGTTACCCCGGACAACGGCCAAGAGTGGAGTAAACACGGGTAAGTGAGGGCAAGGCCTTCAGAGTCTAGTGTCCGAGGTATATTTCAGCTTAAAACAAATCGCCATTAAAAAGAATAAGTAATTAATAAGACAGTAAGACAAGGCTTCTGACAAAACTCTTAAAATTTATTTGCGCTTCTTCTCATGTTGATGAGAAGCCTAGCCATACATAAGCAGAATGTCTTTTTACATACTTACGAGAGGAATTTCCGCTGGCAATGATAACCACTGTAATCCTAAAACGTGTAAAAATGCTTGGAATTGGTAGCACTGGTTCTGTTTGACAAGGCCATTGATGCTCTGTGTTAACCAACATGATCTTCATCGCGCGAACAATTGGTATGGCCCTTTAAATATGCCGCCTAGCGCCAAAACCCTTCTTTGTCCCTGTCATTTTGAAAACGGAGGAATGTCTGCACCATGAATTTTGTTGCAACAGAACGATAATGCTTTGAAGGAAAACATGACTACAGTAGCAGCATCATCGCCGGATGCTTCATTGAGACTGGACATTCACGCACATGACCTAATGATATGGATACGAAGCCTCATTAGAGAGACTGACTATTATGCTGAAATGTATGTCAGTTTTCTTTGCTGAGGACCTCATGACTTCAGCTCACGAAAAAACTTACGGGAATATGCTTCAGCACATGTCAGACAAAAAGGCCAACTATTGTAAAGGGCAGAAATTTGCAAGATGGCACATTGTTGCAACAAGCGGTCGGAGTAGGGACTTTATGATTATTCATTTCTAAAACTGGCACTTCAGTGAATAGCAGAACGGTGAGAAAATCGGTAAGTAGTGTGCCGTACCAACGGCACAATTTTAGGCGGTGTGGGCAGCCGCGATCGACAGGAAAGAACTAGCATAACAGGAACGACTGGAGAAAGCTGGCGGTTAAGTTTTCACATTTAACGCTAACGGCAAATCCCGAAGTCGTCTCAGGATTTATTAGTGTAAGTGAGATATCTCCGATGGTAGAGGTGATAGCGTATTAATTAATTAAGCATCTGTGGGCCATACATCAGTGACACGTCGGCAGATTAAATTTATACAAATGAGTAGGAAGCGAGACAACAAGCCTTTTGCTATGCAGCATGCACCAACTTGCAAAACGATATCACTTTATATTCTCAGAAAAATGAGGGGCCCAGTGTCCAAGGATGTATTTTAAAGGCATACTTGTCCTTGAAAATCCCACTTCCTATTCAGTTCCGGCAGTGTCACGTTGAATGCAAGCAAAATGGTTTCAAGTTTCCTGCACAACAGAGTAAACATTTAACTTGTAGCACAGTGCAGTAAAGAGGTAGAGAAGAGGTTTATCATGTCGAATGCATATTATGTTGTTTCGCAAAGGCTGGTAACTGCTTTTGTCATGGTTCTCTAGTCCGCAATCGATTAGCAGCTTCGCACGCTTTGTAAACACGCTACCTGGGCGGAATAGCTGAATGCGCGAGGAAGCCTTTGGGTAGATATCACCCTAAAAATCAGCAAAGGTGATTAAATTACAGCAGTTAGCGACTCGGATGTTGATGAACAAACAGGCAGCTCATTAACGGCGAAACCCGGCGACTGATGAGAGTGCTGCTACTTAAGATAGAAAGGAAAGAATAGGGTGAAGGACACCAAGCATCTGTGGCATACAAAGTTTACCTGCTATATTTATTTAAGTGGTTTTAGTCCGACACGACTACTTTGGTTTGGGGTTTCATTGTTCAAATATGGGTCGACTGTTGTGGACGGTCTGGTGCATTATCTACAATGACCTCAACTCAGAAAGTTGAGAAACGATCGTTGTAGAAACTCAATGTTTATTTGTTTAATTGCCCTGCTCAATTTCGGTTACAGTATGTCAATGCATTAAAACTTTTCAGTCCGAAAAACGGATTTACGAATTATCTATACTTATTCTGCCATTCCTGTATGCGCACATATGCCCCGCTCATAAACCCCTATCACCACCCTCCCCGTAAGACAGGCACCTTTGGCTGGTCGCCTGTGTTTGGACTCCTTCATCCGATCGTTGCCGATATAAATATTAACACCGCATTCTTATGCATTAGGCGCCTTCATCCTCGAATACACCTGATAACGCGTTCTAGTGGGTATCCCAAAGAGTAGGCGAATGCATTTCTTTGCCCAGATATTTCACCACCTTCTTCTGAATCGCTTGCTGGGACTTGGCTCAACGGGTCTACAGGCAATCTCTCAGTCCGTCCCAAATAATCGTCTACCTACGAATATTCTTTTCCAGTGTATACGCTTTCATTAGCACACATATAGCATGCATGTTTTGATCCAGGACGGAGCGGCATGTATTTTGGCATTTCGCACAAACCTCGTATGCAGTAAATATCATCTCCTGGTTTGGTCTTCAGTAAAAAGACTATAGGTACAGGAGACCTCAGATGATTCGAACCCACAAACAAAGATTTTTTAGTTTTATTAAGGGAAAAGTAGGCGAATGCCCTAGAACTCCCCTC